CACTCATGTTACATAATCCCGTTACACTCCGGTTACATAATCCCGTTACACTCAGGTTACATAATCCCGTTACACTCAGGTTACATAATCCCGTTACAATCAGGTTACAAAATCCCGTTACACTCAGGTTACATAATCCCGTTACACTCAGGTTACATAATCCCTTTACACTCAGGTTACAGAATTCCGTTACATTAAGGTTACAGAATCCCGTTACATTAAGGTTACAGAATCCCGTCACTCTCTTGTTACAAAATCTCGTCATTTTCATGTTACATAATCCCGTTACACTCAGGTTACATAATCCCGTTACACTCATGTTATAAATCCCGTTACACTCAAGTTACATAATCCCGTTACACTCAGGTAGCATGATCCCGTTACACTCAGGTTACATAATCCCGTTACTCACATGTTACATTATCCCGTTGCACTCAAGTTACATAATCCCGTTACACTTAGGTAGCATAATCCCGTCACTCTCTTGTTACAAAATCTCGTCATTTTCATGTTACATAATCCCGTTACACTCAGGTTACATAATCCCGTTACACTCATGTTATAAATCCCGTTACACTCAAGTTACACACTCAGGTAGCATATCAGAATTCCATTACACTCAGGTTACAGAATTCCCATTAAGGTTATTACATTCTCAGGTTACAGAATTCCATTACACTCAGGTTACAGAATCCCATTACACTCAGGTCACAGAATTTCAGTTACACCCATGTTTCATAATTCCGTTACATTAAGGTTACAGAATCCCGTCACACTCTTGTTACATAATCCCGTTATACTCATGTTACATAATCCCGTTACACTCAAGTTTCATAATCCCGTTACACTCAGGTTACATAATCCCGTTACTCACATGTTACATTATCCCGTTACACTCAAGTTACATAATCCCGTTACACTTAGGTAGCATAATCCCGTTACTCACATGTAACATTATCACGTTACACCCATGTTACATAATCCCGTTACACTCATGTTACATAATCCCGTTACACTCAGGTTACAGAATCTCGTTACACTCAGGTTACAGAATCCCGTCACTCTCTTGTTACAAAATCTCGTCATTCTCAGGTTACATGATCCCGTTACACTCAGGTTACAGAATCTCGTTACACTCAGGTTACAGAATTCCATTACATTCAGGTTACAGAATCCCATTACACTCAGGTTACAGAATCCCGTCACTCTCTTGTTACAAAATCTCGTCATTCTCAGGTTACAGAATCCCTTTACACTCAGGTTACAGAATCCCGTTACACTCCGGCTACAGAATATCGTTACACTCAGGTTAAGAAACTCGTTACACTCAGGTCACATAATCTCGTTACACTCAGGTTACATAATTCCGTTACACTCAGGGTACAGGATGCCGTACACCTCACGTTACAAAATCTCTTTAATCTCATTTTGCAGAATTCCGTTACATTATCTCGTTACAAAATATATTTATTGTCATTTGTTACTCTTAAAAAAGTATTTTTTCGATATCGTTTTCTTTTATCTTTTTATCAGCTCAGTAGCAGGAGGAATGTTAACAATACACCGATGATTAATTGCATTCTGTAAAATCTATCATCGATGAATCGTCTCCATGCTATAGAGACAACCACCGAAGTTGTCCTTGCCCGTCTTCGAATGGGCCATACATACCTTACACATTCATATATGATGGAAGGCGAAGATAACCCTCGGTGCATAGGATGCGATGAGCCAATCACCGTTAAACATGTTTTATTGGACTGCATTGACCTTCTGTCTACTCGAGAATTTTCTATCGTAACATTACAAGTCTGAAGACGCTTTTTTGAAACTGTTAGAATTTATGAAATTCTATGTTATCTGAGAGATGTTGGTCTATATGATAGAATATGACTAACCATTTCAATCTTTTGTGATGATATAAGTATTTAAGAGTTTTCAACATTTCTCTGTTTGTTTTATTTCCTTTTTGGATCGCTCTGTTTTCACCGATCGATGGTCCTAATGACCTTTCCTGTGTCGACGGGCCGTTAAGATTGTAATAATAATGATGATATTACTTTGTTTTTAGAATAATTACTCCTATACGCGTCATGTTTGATATGATGTTGTATGTTCTAATTGGGATATGGTATATTTAGCCTACCTGGCCAAGTGAGCTTTTGACACTACGTGGCCTCCGTCGTCCGTATGTCCAACTTTTTTTTCTGTAAATCGCTACTAGCCATGAACGACAGATGGGTAGGTCTTGGCACTAAGAGGCCTCAGGGACGGGGACAAAAAGGGGAAAATTTCGTAAGTTGTTTTAAACCTTTTCCCCCGTGGCTGGAGGGACGGGTCTTGGCCCAAAAAAGGAATGACTGGATTTTACCCAAATTTGGGTTGAGACATTCCTAGGGAAGGAGGAGTCGGGCCTAGTATGGGAAATAGAACGAATCCTTTAAATCTTACTCCTGCTGTAGGAATATTTGGATTTGTTCAAATTTGATATTAAGTATCCGTGGGTAAAGTGAAATCTGTTTTTGTATAATCCTTGGATCTCGCCCCTCTTGGTCGTTTGGAATAGGCTCAAAAAAGGACGTTACACATTTTTTTTTCAAAATTGATTGGATAATTATGCAACTAATGCAGCTTCCTACTAATTTTGACATTTCTTTCAATCACCTTTGCCAGTTAAACTTTTCACTATTTAGGGCAAAGGCATTACTGATGAGTCCTGGGCGAAACAGCTACACGATTTTATTTAATTCATTATTTGGTTTTACTGTATCTCATTCTAAATCGTGTTAAAAGATGTTATGAACTTGTGTTTGTTTTGTACAGTCATCTAATGTTCCTAAAAGAGACCTTAAAATATTACAGTACTTTATACATGCACCTTTGGGGAAAATGCGGTTCATCCTGTCATTTCGTGTATTTTACGTTCATTTACTGCCTATTTTAAACTAACTTTTCAATATCGAAGTAATATTTGTAGACGTTCTCTTCCAACCAGGACAAACCATCGATAAATCACTCCGCCAATTTTGTGTCTACACCTTTTTTCTGTCTAAACTCTGAATAAATCTAACGGCACAATCAGCAAAATTGCGTAACGGTCGACCAAAAGGAAATTCTTTTAATTGCAGCACAGCAAACCAAGACTATTTATATCCGAACCAGTAATTCTTAAATTGCTCCTAGTTGTTAAAATTGATCACGTCCGAAAGTCAAAGATCTTTTTTCAATTTCAATTTCTTAATGATTCACACACGCTGTGTGGGAGTAGGGAAAATACTACGTAGCTATTTGGACTCTAACTTTTCTCTATTCCTCTTAGATCAACGCAATGTATTGGTCGGACAAACGAGGGTGGTTAAGTACAACTCACCATTTTGGTATGTTGTGTATTTTCTGTGAAGCCAGACAATGTTTTAATCTATGAATTAAAGAAACTTTACAAGACCTGAGCTGTCATAAATAGTAATACAATACCTGTATTTTGACGGAAATATATAGAATGCTTTGAAATGTGCTCCATACGAGACGCTCCTTCTGTAATAACGATAGAAAAGAGGGCTCGCAGCAATTATTAGACACGTTAATACTTACTATTAACAGTGGCTGGAATGATAAATGGCTATGTAAATTGGGCCTCGTGATGTTACATCAGTTCGCATGGACTTTTGCATGTGAGAGTGAATGAGTTTTAATATAAAAATCGATTGTTACAGTGCCAATATTTGTATGTAAGGAATTCTAACATTAAGATTAAAGTAGGATTTAATTTCACATAATTACGCTTTAGATATATCAACATGACAACCAAAACGTCGCATTATAAGACAAACATAGGATTTATCATACTTGTATTCATCCATTGTCTCCTACGAAATTACATTCAATGATATACTTAACTTTTTATGTGTCAATACACAAATATGTCATTCACACGATTGGAGAAATTAATTCCAACTTTAGATTAAGACGTACTGTTTTGTAACCTCCTTTCAAAATGTCACCATAGTATTGTAAAATTACAATAATGACCGAAGATAACCCGAGTGAGATAATTTCGTTCAGAGAATGAAAAGAGATCAATTTTCACTGATAAACTGAGCAATTCCTTTCTATGAAAATATCAAATTACTAATACATTACAAGTACAGACTGGCATGTTCATGTATTATATATCATTATCTACCCCTGCCGAAATCTTACCAAGTATATTGCAATGGGAACATGTAATTAAGTAAATTGATAATTTACGTATTCATGATGCTAATTCTATATTCTGTAAAAAAAAGAATTTGTAAGCTTAGAATGGAGAATAGTGAATATGTGATTATAATTATACCTGTACTGTTATGCCTCGATGTAAACATAATAAACAATGTTTCCAGGTTATATCGAGCATTATTTTACTCCTAGTATCATAATGGTGAAATTCTAAATTGTACATTTATGGCATACAATACAAAATATAATAAAAAATGTTGAAACACAATTTCATCTGTTTGTTAAATCTAATTATATGTATCTACATTTGCATAGCAATGTCATTATATCATTATAACCAGAAAGAAGTAAGGCGTAAGCTTCCATAAATGACATCCCTCGCCTGAACAATTTCACGTCCTTGATGTATGCATAGTAACGTTGACGGTTCGCTGTCAAAATGACTGCTTCACAAGACAGGTTAAACTGTTGATAATGGATAATTCATTTAAGTTTAGATCAAGCAATTTTCGGTAAATTATATCAAGATACTTAGAGAATGTAGTTATAAGTATCGAGCTGTCTTATAGCATTTGTGGTTGTTTTCATAACAGTATTTATGGTCGCTATCATAACAGCAGTTGCGGTCGTTGGCATTTGCACGCATACTGATTTATAACTGTCATTTATAACAACCATTAATTGTTTTACAAGACAGGTCAATGCTTATATATATCCAGCATTAACTTCATCGGCAAATAACATTACGAAAATCTATCTTCGATGTCCACTTCTTATTTCAGTGTGTGGCCTTCTTCTCTTACACGTGGGACTTCGGTGAAGTGCTGTGTAAATTAGTCAACTATCTCCAGAACATTTCTATCATTTGCTCAGTGATGAACTTGACTGGTTTAAGCTTAGAGAGGTAAGTACGTGACAACGTTCCCTCATTATAACATTACTTAGTTTAATGGTTTGCTTATGTCTTTGTGCTATTCTTACTTTGTTCATCAAATACAGATACATGAGCCAGAAATGTATAATCAGAGATTCCTTTTCAGTCCAATATTATTCTGCATCCCTAATTGCAACACTCACCACGTTAACACTGCTTTATTGCTCCTCCTCTCGTTACCTTTGTCATCATAAAATCCCGAAATTATAAATATGGGAGAGATCCTGGCTGCCAATGTAGGTGGTTAGGGATCCCAGCAGGCTTTTAGCATACATATGGGTACTAACTGTGCTGCTCCCCTGTTGTCTGTATTGTTATTGTTTTCATATGTGCTGATTTTTTCGACAATATTATCAAAACAGGTCACAAAGACTTTCAGATTAAAGAGCAAGAGATTTATTGACCACGTCCGTTGTGTATATCCACCACAGTTAAAAATCAATGATACGACAAAATTTTAAACATCAGCCGTTTAACTCGATCTTTCCCATCAATGAAAGCAACATTGACAACTTTGTACCAAGCTTTTATGATAAGCCTGATGATTTCAATTTTCCTATTAGGAATTTCCCATTTCTGGATTACAATATACCTGCATCCTCAACCTATGGTGTGTACATGTGGCATTTGATTCGATATTCAAGGGCCTGTTCCAATTGTCACGATGTCCGCTGACTGTAGTATAGGGTTTCAAAAAATGGAGGTTGACGAAAATCATCAGGAAGATTTACGATCATCATAGTGATCTCATTGAGAATCATTCCTTTTCTTTTTGCGATGTGTAGCTGGATGTGTTTGATGCTTCATCACCGACACCCACCATGAAAGTATAGGTCAATCAAAGTAAGTAATGTGACGTTGAGGACGAAGTATACAACTGAACAATAGGGAAAAAAAGAGCACAAATAACCCACTGAAAAGGTACAGAAGATGATAAAGGTACAAAAAATTTGAAACACCAGTTTTACAGAAAGAATGAAAGTGACAGAATATCAAAATATTAACACAGTTTCAATTTTAAAAACAAAAGTTGTCTTGAGTCATCATCATAACCTTTTGACATAACGACTGGATTTCGTACGATTTTAAAGGATTAGCATTCACTTATTGCAACACATTATTGTGAAATTGTACTTTCCTTGATCACTTTTTTTAATCTAACGCGATTCCATTTGGAAATATTGTACTCAACGTAACATAACAGTCATCATCGCCTATATTATTGAACATTTCTGGAGAACTTGTGAATTTTCATCAACAATTTCTCGGTAGTGAAGAACAGAATGGTATTGTGTCTTATCAATTTAAAAGTCCCATATGTATGTGACTTTCCCATAGTGCTTAATACAATGTAACACCACTAACAAGCTGGCGATCTCGGGATTCACACCAATAGCTACTTGAAAAGTTATTAAAGTATCAGGAAGCAAGTAGTGCTAATGGGTGCCATCCTACTGGTGTCATTTGAATGTTTATGCTCCCGGATTAACCGTTCCTATCATAAATATCATATCTCTAAGGTTGTCGTTATGTACGCATTGAATTTTCTGCTTTAAGTTTTCTAAGTACCCTTCCCTTATGTTAGAGAAAAGATCGATAAAATCTCACATGAAGGTGTTCCATTTATAAGAAAATTTCAAAACCTTCTGAAAAGTGAATGGCAATGCACATAAAGGCTTGTCAACTTCGCCTTTGCCACGCCCTTTAACAAAGGATTTGACATTTCTTGCCATTGGGACAAATCCATGTTTTCTACCAGTTTTAACTTTGACCTCTATTCACGTTTCACGAAGGAAATCAATCGCCTTTCTTCAAGGCTAATTCACATCGGATGTTGTTTTGATGAACATCTATTCATCCCCTCACGATGAAAGAACCATAACAATTTGTGTGTAAATTGATGACGTTTTCCAACGGTGATGTGGTTAAGCCACCTAAAGTGATAACGCAACCTCTGGATGTATGAACTGGGTTTTTTCTTCTTCTAAGAGTTATTAGAATGATCATTTCATGGATAATCTTTGTGTTTTACGAGCAAGTTAGAGGCAAATTAGGGAGAAAGGTATCCTTCTGTTCAATTAGAAAGACAGCTCTATACATTTTAACTACCAAAGTCGATACAAGCTTACGAAGTATTATCCTTTTTTGTTTTTTAAGGAATGATGTCTGTTCAAGGAACATTCCATTAATGTCTACATAATTAGTCTGATAAGAAGATTCTGGAATACATTTCTTTTAAAGAATTATACCCAAGGAATAAAGAAACACAAGGTGACATTATTTGCAATCTCTTGCGAATGCGAAAAACGAAGGTTTCAGTACATGTAGTCCTGTATCGAATGTTGCATTACTGTATTGTGTGACAAAGTCTTACGGGGAAATCACGAAACGGAAAAATCTCGAACACAACAGTGTTGTAATATTGAGTTACACTGATCGTCATAGAATCTGGTAGTCTTCATATAGACACATCATTTTCCAATATTTTGAGTTATTTCTGATGGCATCAAATAATGGCACGGCTGACGGAAATTCAGATTGGTAAGGCCATTGCGATGACTATTCAGGGTCAAAGGCAAATAAAGGTTGCTAGACATTGCGGTATCCATTTTTGTACTATAGAACGTCTTGTTAGAAGTCTAAGGGAAACTGGGTAGGTTGTTGACAGACCTGGATGTCCGCGCATGACGTCAGGACAGGTTTATTCGTCTCGTGCATTTTCGCAATCGGCACCTTACTACCACTGAATCTGCCCTTATCCCATAGGTACTTATAACAGTCATATCCGTTCAAAAGCTGTAAGAAAACGATGGCGGGAAGTTGGTCTACGGGCACGTCACCCGTTTGTAGGTCTGCCCCCTACCGCTGCTCGTCGCCAGCTTCGTGTGGCTTGGGTTGCGGCACACGCCCCACGAATATTCCCATTGAGGCAATTTAACTGGCGCTAGGTATAGCGATGAGATCCTCCGACCCCATGTTGCCCCATTTTTGCAGCAAAACAACGTCACATTTCAGCAGGATAATTCTCGAACCCATGTAGCGAGGATCTGTCGCTACTTCCTCACTAACAGAAATATTCATCAACTGGACTGGCCGTCATACAGCCCCGACCTATCCCTATTGAGCACTTGTGGGACCAGCTGGATCGAAAAGTTCTACGACACTAGCCTCCTCGTGTTGCTCTGGCCCAACTGAGAGCAGTCCCATTGGAAGAGTGGACAACATCCCAATGAGGAGGATAACCTCACTCATTAACTCCATGTCAATTACTCCTAAATCACTTACCAGATACAAATCGGTGATAGTTTATTCTGTATGGATTAATCTTCATTCTTACTTTAAAATATTGAACATTATACTCGACGTTTTGCCTAGAATCATCTTCAAAGTTTAGCCTGCGTTTCTTAATCCCTTACTATATGTGCCGGCATTTGAAAAACACGTTTCCCTCGTACAAATGACTTTTAGTTTGAATTAATTGTATTGGCCGAAGGAAAGAATGCTTAGATAATTAACATTCTTCTTTGTGAAGATAGCTAATCTATCAAATTTATTTTTAAATACGTGTAGGAGAATGGAGAAAAATCGTGGTAAATGACATTTTCAACGAATTCAATTTATACCACATTACCTTAATCTTTAAACAAATTATCAACTTATTGTGTAATTCCTTACAAATGACATCATATCGAAATGAAATTGCAGCAGTCATATAGAGTTGTGCTGTAATCAACTTGTCGGCTTGTTTGTAAGTGTTATTTTGTCGTCGCCACATTTTTCATTGTAATGACAAACCGACCATTGATGTTATATTACGCTGTGATTTAGTTGAGGCAGATTCCGATTTAAGAGTGGTGTGAACATTAACGAGCGGTACTTGCTTTCTATTCATATCCCCAGAGTAATATTGAAACAGATGTCATCATTGCTTCATTACCTAGTCTGCTTGATAAGGAAAACATGTAGACTCTAAACATAATGCTTATTTCAATCTAACCGAATCTATTGATCAACGGAAGTAATAAATAGGAACAAAATTACATTTTCTTGTTCTTGATCAGATACTAGGGTGTTAAAAACAAGTTTGTTTTAATTAAAGAACAAATTGTAAACCCTTACATTGTTGCATTTTTCATATCTTATGATGGTGACCATACACTTGTATCTGAACTGAATCGGTTCGTAAATGAATGTTTATGAAAAAAAGTTTTTCGAAATGATTTTTAAGAGTAGCGTAGCTTAAGATGTGGTAAATATGACATAAGTAAATATCATAATAAGTTATGAAACACTATGATGAACATTGCTATCGTGAATTAGGTTGACAACAGTATGGAAATTTAGAAGAGAATGTATGAAAGTAAACAACTATCGAAAAAAGAAGGCCTAAAGCACCAGCTCAATATTTCGATGAAGGAAGAATTGATTCATAACACACGGAAGATTTGTTTCATACCAAGTTTGAGTCTAAAGACATCTCTAAACATGAATGGATTACATATTAAATTCCTTGCTTGTGATCCTTGTATTTACACATTTGAAAGGAGATTTTGTACTGTATATGCAGTATACGCCATAAAATGATAAACAAAAAAAAATTATTGTTTAATAAAGTATATTATTTTCGTCTCTGTTTACCATTCCTTAACAAACATAATAAACATAGTAAGATGTTCTTGCAGTCTCATGAGTAGTCAGCTACAAAACGTCTGAAGTGGCCCAGTCTTAAGTCTGTTTTAGGTCAGCCACTCCTCTGTCTGTGTTCAGTGTTATATTAAGCATTCTATAAGAGTCTGCCTTGTCATTAAAGGATGCTATGAGTACTTAGTTATACATCATTCTATACCACAAATCTGTCGAATATTGTACAAAAGACACACAAGTGAATAATTCCAACTTAGAATTGTATACAGCAGAGCCAGAAAATGAGTTTTACAGTATCAAATAGGTTTATCGTCCTTCCAGGACTT